GGGGTGTTTTGCTGTGGCGGCCCCGGGACACCGACCGACACGCCAGGGAGGAGTCCGTGGGGGCACTCCCCACATGGATGTCTTCTCCAGAGTCCACTGGGGCCCAAGGGAGGCGGGACCGGGCAGTCTGGCTGGCAAGGGTGACCGGGGGCTGCCACCTTGTCATGGGTGACATGATCAGGTCGTGTTTGTGCAGGAACCCAGGAACAACAGGGTGCCTCGGGGGTCTCCGGGAGGAAGTGCATCAATGAAGCAACAATGTAAAAAGTGTCTTCTTTTGGAAGATCTTAAACCAGGGGGAATGAAATTCGCAGTAAGGATGAATTCCCCAAGGCAAGAACAGTTCAGTTTTCTCCAACCTGCCCCCTTGGGCGGCTCCTGAGCCATGTCCCGTTGCAGGATGCGGGTGCGGGAGGCCACGTGGCAGCAGCGAGCGCCCACGGGAGCTCCACGGCACACAGCCGTGCATCCGTCAGCCCTCCGTGTGCATGGGAGCCTTTGGTGACTGGGAAGGCGTGGGCTGCACCTGGCCTCAAAAGGGCACCACGTCATGCCCCAGTGAAGCTGACCCTGACCTGTCTCGGTCTCCCGACGATGCAGCCCCATGCTGCCACTGAGAAGTTCCCAGAATCACAAGGAAATAAAGAATGTGTCCCTGTGGGAGGTGACGGGTGTTAACCTGGCCTATTGTGGCGATTGCTATATATACACGTATCGAGTCACTGTTCCGCGTACCCACAACTAATACAATGTCCTATGTCAATTATATCTCAGTAAAACTGGAAGAAAAAAAGAAATTCATCGAAACAGCAAAGGTCTGAAATTTCCATTAAGGAATTCGGTATATTCCAAACTTGAAGGATAAAAGCCATCCAAAATGATTTAGTGAAGCTTTCTTTCTGTGTTAGTTACTATGATTTAATAGCTGTACCCTTAAAAAGTACAGAGCCATGGCCGCCCACCCGCTCTGCTGGGCTCCGCACACCATTTCTTGCTGGCCTGGGTCAAGCTCTTCAATCGTGCTTTCAACCTGGGGATGATACGAACTGAAGGACAGGCTGATGTGTCAGATGACAGAGTCAAATAGAAGGTGGGCAGTGGATTAAATTTAACAGGGGTCAGGGAGAAAGCGTCCCCCACCACCCCGTATGTTTGCACGTATATACACAGAAACAGCGTGGAAGAAATGGGCTCAAAACGAAGCAGCCTATTGGGGCCACTGTGAGGAGTGTCTTAGTGGAAACCCCGTGTCTGAGGGAGGGAATTCTACCACCTCTTTGCCATTTGACCGCTGTGGGGCTGGAGCCGGGTTCTGGACACGTTCTGGGGCCTCCAGACACTTGTGCAAAATTCCAGGATGGCAGTTAGCGTGGGGAGAAGTCGTTTGAAAAGCAGCTGTGGGACTGCCCGTGTACCTCTGTGTGTGTGCACCTGCGTGTGTGCCTGTGTGCACCTGTGGGCATCCATGTGGTGGGCTCACAGGAAGAAGCCGTGGTCACTCCTCCTTACTCCTCATCACTCCAGAAGGCAGACGTGAACTCCCGACTGGATGAGGAGCACAGCAGGTCTGGGGGCCGCGTTGGAAGACCATTTTCCAGCAGTGCAGGGCCTCCCCTGGGGGGACATCTGTGAGGGGGTCCGGGGAGTGCCCTGCCAGCGTGGTGATCAGGCGGAGCTGGGTGGCACCATGTGGAAGGTTCCTGCAGAGGGACAGGCAGGATCAGATGAAGGCCAGTGAGTGCTGCTGTGAAGCTTGTCTGAGTTCATTATTGATCCCCTCGTAGTACGTTGAATAATATCCCTCAAAATTCGTGTCCACCCACAATCCCAGGATGGGGCCTTACTTGGAAATAGGGTCTTTGAGGATGTACTTGGTTAAGATGAGGTCCTGCTGGTTTGGGGGGACCTAAATTCAATGACATGCCCTTCTAAGGAGGGAATGCTCAGAGGTGGCCACGTGGAGACAGAGGCAGAGGTGAAGTGATGCTTCCGCAAGCCAAGGAACCCCAGGATTGCAGCACCCCCAGAAGCCAGCAGAGGGGCCCGGGACGGTTCCTGCCCAGAGCCCTCGGAGGTGGTGTGGCCCTGCTGACACCTTGGTTTGGGACTTCTGCCTCCAGGATGTGAGAGAGGATGTCTCTGTTGTGTTAAGCCCCCGATTTGGGGTCCCAGCAGCCCCAGGGAATGGAAGCAGCTGCTTCCTTGGCCCCGGGCACTCCCTGTGCCTCACGAAAGGGAAGACGCTCTGTCCGCTTTGCCCTCTCCTGCTCAGAAGACTTTAGAGTCAAATGGAAAAGCCTTGTCATTTTTCACGATGCCACATTTCCCACCTTTTTCTTTTAAAAGTATCCTACGTGCCTCGTGAACGTTCTCACACCCGTGCGCCCTGAGGGGGTTCCTGTTTGCACAGCGCGGAGAAAGCACGTGTTTCTGTCCCGGCGTTGGGAGCGCGGAGCCGGGGGTGCCTGCGCCCCAGTGTTTCCCAGCTCCGTCTCCCCTTCTGCAGCCGGTCTCGGGCCACACATCCATCTTGCGTCTCTCCTCCTCCTGCCTCCAGCCTTCAGAACTTGCCTGCGCTCACCTCGTGCCGGCGGTGATGAGGGACATGGGGGGCAGATCAGTTACGATTCAGGTGTTTTGCCCCCACAGTGCCACACACCTGGCTCTTGGGAAACACGGAGAAATCAGGTTGATCTTCCAGTGTGCATCCAGGTGTCTCTCATCCTGTGGACACCCCGGCGTCTTCTCTGTCCTCCAGAGAATCTGTCTGTCCAGGCGGATGCGCCTTCCCTCTGTTCATGTCTGCTCAGCTGTGGCTGAGCACATCCACACAAAAGGGACAAGAGTGCTACTTCTGTAGAGCAAGCTCAGCACAGACCTTCTCCCCACAGGATTGCCTGGGGTTGCCTAGCAATCTGACAGCACTCTGCCTCAGTCGACACACGACTTGGATGGATTTTTCCTATTTTTAATTTGTTTTCTGGGTGGGTATTATTGTGCAATCATAGGCTGAGCTCAAAGATATGATGTGGGTCCCACTCGAAACAAGTAGGTCCAGGGAGATGGGGAAGAACCCACTGGTCCTCGGAGGGACCTCGGCATCTGTTCTCAAAGACTCTTGTCTCCAGCCGTCGGCCCAGTTATGAAAGTTGGGTGGCACCTGGGGACCCTCTGCCCGCACCCCTCACACGTTCTGCAGGCCGCCTTGGTTCTCCAGAAGCAACTGCGTTATCAAGCAGAGCGGAGAGAGAAGTGTGCGCGATGTGGACATGGGCCCCTGAGCTGCCTGGATCTCCCCCTGACATTTCCCGTCCACGTGGGAGGAGACATGGCATGATTTGCAAGGGGTTCACCCTCCTCTTGAGAAGATAAATGTCAGAACTGAGAGCAAGCGGGTACTGATATAGAGCTGCACACTCTTAAATAAAATATCAAGTCTGGAAGTGTGTGTGTGTGTGTGTGTGTGTGTGTGTGTGTGACATTGCAGATGCACCTGCCTGCTCTCCTGCATGTGAAATAGGAGGGTGGCGTGGAGGGGCTGGGGGCGGTCCTGCTTGCAGACTCAGAGGCTGGGGTTAGGGTGTGGGGCTGCCGCTCAGGTGCCCCGAGAACCTGGCAGGGCCCCTGGCGGCTCTGAGCCTCAGTTTCCTCAACCGTAATAGGAGGGGACTGTTCACAGTGACCTCTGAGCTGCTTCCAGTCGGAAATGCCATGATGACGTCTGGGACCGGAAGCCAGGGAAGGGGTGAGGCCGTGGAGGGAAATACTGTGAACTGGAGATTGAGTCTCCAGGAAAGCTGGTGTTTAGGTGGAAGTGAGGAAAGCAAACGGGAAGGAGGAGGCAGGATGAGCAGGAGAGCATGCCGTCATGCAGGATCCGGAGGAAGTTTCCAGAAAGGGAGTGGATAGCAGGGCCACCTGCCTTAAGTGATGGAGTGCACCAAGGGTGGAATGTGGGCTAGTCTGGTGCCTCCCATCCCTGGAGACTCCAGGAGAGCCATTCTGTGGGGTGCTGGGAGCAGGTGGGAACTGTTGTGGATAAAGGGGAGAGAGGAAGGTGGGGGCCTTGGGGAGAGAGCAGTGTCTAGGGAGACCCCACCTGCTTTCAGGCTGGCGGGTGAGGGCCCCCTGGGCAGGGGAGATGGGAGAGGGGGAGGCGCCAGAGGGCTGGACAGAGAGGGGGATTTGGAAGGAGAGGGGGAGGACGGGAGGAAGTCTGAGCTCTCCCTTCCTAGTGAAAACCACGGTGCACTCATCTACCAGGAGTAAGGGGGAACGTGTGGTGGCTCAGGTGTGCAGCTGGGCAGCCAGCCCAGCTGGTGCGTCCGGTGCTGAGGCCATGCATGGGAGGAGCCCCAGCTGTGACCAGAGGTGAGAGCTGGGCCAGTGCTGGCCTCTGTGACTTCACTGGGTAAGTCAGTGGGGTTGGAGCCTCTGATGGCCAGGTTTCATGGTGATCTAGACTTCATGGGGTCTGAGAGACCCTACAGAAATATATGCTTTTGCATGTCTGCTCCGCATGCACAGATGTTAGTGGGTGGTTTCTCCAATACGCTCCTTCAGCCCCTGGGGGTCTGTCCCTATGGGGACATCCTGAACACAGGCAGGCACCTGTCCAGCATCCTACAGTATGCTCAGACTTCAGCCCAAAGGGGAACCCAAAGTAGCCAACAGTGATGGGCAGTGGTGGGAAATGGATGTGCCTGTGTATTTATATGCAACGTAAATATTGGTGTGGAGAGGGGGAGAGGAAGGGGGAGGGAGGGAGAGTCATTCTTAACTGGGAAGTTAGGATTGCGTTAAGTGGCCTTAGAATTTACTGTGTTGGATTAAAAGACCAAACAAGGAAGCCCAGTAACGGTGTAAAACGTACTCTCCACCAGCACACCGACTGGTCATCTATGGACCAAACAAGATTGTGGGAGACTGACAAGGAAAAAGAAGTTCCCTTCTATCTTGTTTTCCTCCCACATTTCCCTGTGGTACCATCACCTACTTACGTGCAAGGTGATCACCGCACAGACCTAGCCATGGTGTCCTTTCTGCCGTGGCTGCTTCATGCTTCTAGTCTTGGATGGAGGGTCTGGGAGAAAGAAGACAAGGTGAATAGTTTTGGGGTCACAGTCTGGCTGGCCTCAGACTGAGTTTATAAGAGCCCTTTTCAGGGGGTCTGTGAACCCACTGGCTCCGAATGGACCACTGCATCTATTCTAGGAAATTCTTGGCACAAGGGCTTTCTGGGGAATGGGGGGCCCACCCCAGCTGGGATGTCTGGCAGGTTGATGGGGGTGAATAGGCTGATCTGCATTTTCTGTCGCTTAGCTTACCACGGCCACCCTCCCGATTCTAAGAGGACACATCTGAGGGGTGAAATGAGTGTCTTCAGCTTATACAGATGGCTGTGCATGGGGAGGAGACCATCAGGACCTGGCCCAAGCCGGCCGGGAAGGTACAGATTAGAACCTGGGCCAGGTTCATCTGGTGTTAAAGGGCAGCATGATGCTAGAGGCATTTTGGTGATGACAGCCCTCAACAGGTCTGTGTATGGACAGTTGGACATGTCCCCACCCCGCTCTACCCTCCCATGTTTCCCTCCCACGATCTGCCTTCTCTCCCGTGCTGTGGAGTCCCCTCCTCTGCCCCTCTCTTACTGGATGCACTGTGTCATACATCCCTTGTCATGTGCTTTCATGATTTACTCCCTCGTTTTGTTGGAGCACATCCTCTAGTAGCTTCCTGAGAAATGGCACATGGGAAATAAATGTTTTTGAAACCTTGCATATGCAAACGTCTTTATTTTAATCTCACTTTTGATTGTTAATTTGGTTAAGTAAGGGGTTCTAGGCCAGGAAAGATTTTCCTTTGGCACTTTGAAGGCACTGCTCCCTTATCTCTTAGCTCCTGCTATTGCTCTAGAGACTGTGAAAGCCCATTCTCATTTGGGCTCTTTTTTTATGGGACCTGGAAACTTGCGGGAAATTTTCTTTGCCCCCAGTGTTTTGTATATCAGTATACCTTGCTGTGGGTCAGTTTCCATCCGTTGTGCTGAGAACTGGGAAACTCATTTCTAGTTTTTGTTCTGTGAGTGTCTTCCTTCAAAGCATCCTGCTCTTGGTGTATGGATGCAGGATCTTCTCTGCTGTCTTTGTGGATATGGAAAGTGGCTGTTGATGATGTCTTCTCCTCTTTGACTGTTTCCTCAAAGGTGTCCCCCCTCTCCCCCCCTCCCCCCAGCCGCCCCGCTCTGGGTTGTTTGGTGGCTCTTCTCCGAAAGGCTTTCCTCAGATGTCTGGTAATTTCGGGGTGTCTACTCACATTTAGGGGCGGGGCCTGCAGAGCTGACTGGAAACTGAGGACCAGGTGGGCTTGTCCACTGGGGCTTTTCCCTAGAGGGTGAGTGGTCCGCTCTCTGCTGGGACACAGCAAGGTTATAGCTTACCTGCAGGAGGAGGGAGGGACTCTCCTAGGCCTTGCCTGTCTGATAAGGTCCTCTGGGGGCTGAGTGGGGATTTCAGCCTTTAGGGGGCAGGATACCTCCCTGCCATCTGTGCATGAGGTCCCTCTGGCCACAGAGCCCCTGCTCCATTCTCCCCAGGGAGCACCCCTCCAGGGCGGCTGGCCCTTGGTGGTCTGGAGCAGGCAGCCAGGGAGGATCTGTGGGCTTCTTAAACAGACCTCTGCTACTCTGGGCTGCCTTCCCTATCTCCACAGGCCCCTGGCCCCACTGGTTCGGAGCCTCGGAGGTTCTGTTTCTCAGCTTCCCTCTAGAGCGGGGTGAGGAGTCAGCATGGCCGGGCCAGGCACCGCTGGTCCATTTGCTTTCCACATCATTCCTGTTGTCTTTCCTCTTGTTCTCCAGCTCCTTGAGCTTTGTATCTTTACAGAATCTCTTCTGGTAGTTCTAGTGGGGTTTTTAAAGGGAGCAAAATTAGCTTCCTTTTAGTCTCCGAGGTAAATCTCCTCTTGTTTTGTACCTAATTATTATTGCAAAGGACCTTTCCCAGCTTCTCCTCCCTGTTCTCACTTAAAAAAACAAAACCAAAAAAGCAACAAAGTTTCCAAGTCAGAGGTTTGTAAAATCTTTGATGATACCCCAAGATGGACAACCTCCTGGGTGCTCCTGGTATGAGGACATACAGATTGGTCCTGATGCCCCTTGCTGGCCAGATCCCTTTGATAGTAGCTGCAGCTGGAAGGGCAAATTCCCTGGGGCTCGTCACGAGGTCAGCCTTGCCAGGGCTTGTCCCCAAGGGGGGATCCGAGTGTGCAGGTCCTGTGGCTCAACCTGCCACAGCTGCCAACTTCAACCCACCCGCACGGGAGCTGCACGGGTCTCCGGTGCTGAGTGCTGGCTGGTTCTGGGGGGAGCTTGGGAACAAGATTTGGGGCTGTCTTCAGAGAGCTTTTCTGGAATGACCCAGAAGAATGACCTATAAGGAGCTGTGCTTTTCCTGTGAAGGAAGAGGCCTGCCTGTAGGGAGACAGTTGGGTGATGGGGAGTGGGTGGGCCCAGCCAGGAGTTGGAGGCCATGGAAGCCTGGACCATCTGACAGCAGAGGACAGAGAGAGCCAATTAGGTCTTTTGAGCAGGGATGTGCCATTTTAAATATGGGGGCTGGGGAAAGTTCAATCAACCAAGCAGCTGCCTGGCTGGTAGACAAGGCATTTATCCGGTGTTTAGCTGTAGGCCGAGCGGCTTACTCGAAATTGTAGAGCACGATTCCCCCTGGCCAAGGCAGATCAATGATCCAGACAGGCTGGAGGGCCAGAAATTAAAAGCATTAAGCTCGTAAGTGGACAGTAGCCACTTGTCTTGGACACTGTCTATCCTCACTCTGCAGGGAAGGCAGCCGGCAGCAGCCCCGGGCATGTAGGAACGCAGAGTCCACATCCCTCCCTCTGCTGCCTCTGAGTCTTCCAGGCCCCTTACAAACCCCAGATTCCATGACACGCTTTTTGTCTCACACAGAAAAGCAGGACAGTCAGGTACAAGGAGGAATCCTATGGTTCCAGAAGCATCGTCCAGAAGTAAAAAGCAACCTGGGATGGGTTTTTCATTTGTTTTTAGATTGAGAACGTCTTTGAGGTTACAGCTCACCCCCCTCCCCCCGTGGTGTTCTGGGCACAGCATCTGTTTTTTCCTCAGAAACAGAAGCAAGGCCCTGCCCAATCCTGTGGTTCTGTTTGGGACAGCCCAGGGCCTCCTGCCTTTGGTGCTGACCTTCCTGCCCTCCATGGGTCTCATCCTGCCAGCGCATAGGGTCCCCACTCCACTGGCCCTTAGCTTTGGCTTTCCTTCTCCCCTCCCAGCCCCTAAACCAGGGGTTCTTCTGCCAGGTTGGGGGAGACTGGAGTAGGAACAGGGACAACCAGTAAATCCGAAGCAGACCTCCCACACTGACAGCCTGGTATCTCCAGCAGGGCAGGGGTGTTTGCATAGGTTGGGTTGGCCAATCTGGACAAATGCCCCAGCAGTGACCCTGTGTGGCCCCTTCACTCTCTGTCCAGAGGAAGGCAAGGCACTGAATTCCAGGCCTTAGTAAGGGAGTGGGGGTCTGTGGGCAAAGTGGAAGAGGAGGCAAGGCAATGCAGACCAGTGGCAGAGAAGTGTGGGGGGCATTAACTTCTGCTGCTGGAGTTCCCATTCTGGGGCACCCCAGTGTTGTCCTTTCCAGGCCAGGGCCAGGGCCAGGGAGGTGGAAGGGCAGGGGTCCTCATGGGAGCTGCCTGTCCCCACATCGCCAGGAGGGAGAGAGGGAGGGAGGAGAGGCGGGGCCAGGGCTGGAGGGCGGTGCTCGCGGGGACCCGGGCAGCTCCGGGCTCTGGGGACCCCTGCGCCTCGCCCACTTCTCCCTTGCCGGGGCTCCGCAGGGCTGGCACTGCGGGCCGCCAGGGTGCG